TCAAGAGAAAATTTTAAAAAAAATAATGAAAAAGAGATTTAAATCCCAAAACTGTTAACAAAGTCTGTGAAAACCTGTTCTTTGGTAACTGGAATACGTGCTAATGAGGGTACTGTAGAGTTACGATATAAGTTTACTCGAGAGGGAACACAACAATATTGGGATCTAGTTGAAGGATGGGAACAACAGGATGTGTGGAGTCGATGAGTGTGCAAACTTTTCACATGCATTCAAATGACGTTCGTATAGGTCAGTTACCAACTCCTTCAGCGCGATTGAAGAGGCACGACTAATGATGGTCAGTCCCCGTCCAAGCTGTTTAAANCTGTTTAAAATCTTTCTTTAAGAGAGTAGAAAAAAATAACGGGTGGACAATGAAGTACATCAGGGTGGACACACTGGTACACAAATTTGGAAACAATTGATTGTTGAATATGAAACTGACGAAGTTTACGGATATGAAAAGAAAGTCGTTGAAACTTACTGAGTATATGTTGAATGTGAGAGGTCCAGTGAAGNGGCGGCAAACCGTTAAACGTTATCTAAGTTGTCAGAAAATTGTGAAAGACCAGAAGAATTGGAAATGGCCTGACACAAAACCACATCGTCAGAATATTTGAAGAGAGAAGTAGGAGCTCTAGCAGACAAGTCACTAACACATGTGGAAAATTAGTATCGGGAAATAACTGCACCTTGGAATACTCCAGAATTATTCAACAACGATCTGGATTTATTCCGACCTTACCTGGTACACTGAGTTCTCCCGGAGAAATAATCGGCAAGCTAAGCTAATAACTGTCTAGAACAGCCAAAGGTCTCCAGTTTACGAAGAAAAGGGGAACGAGGAATAGAATCAAAAGCAGATGAGTATTCCAGACACACAAAACGGAAAGATTTCGCAGTCATTCAAGGATTTGATAACACAAAGGAAACGGCATCTAGCGTGCATCTGTTTGATTTATAGGCAAACTGAAGAGGATCACACGGGACGTCAATGGAGGACTGAATGCGTTTAGGAACAACACGTTCTGCTAGCTTAAGTTCAACAAAGGTTAAGGCGATAGAACGANTTAAAACGTTTGGAGTAGAGGATTTGGGGATGCAAAGTTATTTCCATTTCTCCTGTTCTGGGAAATCAAATACTACCGCATGCCACTGACGAAAGGGGTTTGGGAGTTATGGTATAGGAGGACCTAGGATCTTCCGCGCACCGTGCCAGAGCATCATCCATGGCTCTATAGCATGTTGGAATACTTGAACCTGCTTTCGGGCAGTTCAAAACACCACTGTTCCCACGCTTTCTATCAGCGTTAGTTCGGCCACACACGGAATCCATAATTGAACCGGAACAAGATGTCTCTAGAACGTTCGCAAAGGTTGGTAACAAAATGGGGAAAAGGGCTGTACAAAAATACATACCCCAAAAGACTGCAAACATTGGGACTCTACTCATCTCAATACGTCCGACTTCGGAGGGACCTAATCTTGGCATATCACATACTGCATCAACCCAACCACCCTTGCCGTCCTGTGCTGACTTTATCTCAAAATCTTCACCTCAGGGGATATCCACTAAATTTGAAGTCCCAGAACAGCCACCTTGATTGCCGGCATTAGTCGTTTGCAGCGAGTGGGTGGTGTGTTCCTGCAGATGAACTATTTAAATCGCAACCTAGTAAAGCATTGGAGCACTCAACATTTTGACATCCGTGAGTAATCATGCCTGTTATTATTATTACATTCTCTTCATAAGGTTATTCAAAAGATTCTGTTAAAATCCTATGGGGCATGATAAGCTTTAGCTTTGCTAAATCGCCCATAAGAGAACGTGGACTCTCGTTTTGCATGTTAATCTGTCAATAGTTAACTGCTGGACAGAGCATAGTTTGTCCCGATAAACCAGCATAAATTTCTCCGTTCACAGTTCGCAGGTTTCTCTGTAGCTTATTTACGCTTTCAGAGCTATACGTTCGAGTAAACTCTCCTAATTCTATTTTTTTTTTGAAGCAAAGCCTCCGCGATACTTCTTACTTAGTTTACCGAACAATGAACCCGTGCTCATCATTAAACCACTTCATGGACATGACTTACATATAGTTTACAAGAAGTAGCATATGAATGACTCAACAAAATTTTCCTGGAAACATGACTGGTTTCGCATTTCTTGACGGTCGACAAGTATGCGCATCCGGCAATCCTATCACTTCATTCAAATACTTGTACTCAGGAAGCGTAATTTAATCGCAATAATCTCATTTGCAACGTCAGTGAACTTGTTTGAACAGCGCTTTTAGAACCAATGCCTCTATGAATCAATACTAAGATTCGATATGTTGCTGAAAATCTCGGAAGGAAACCTCGGGTACCAGGATCCTACTTCCACCAGTGGATTTTTACCAATAAACTACCTCTCACAGCATTTACTTTCCTGCAGTGACCTAATTCAAGGTGTGAGTTGATAGTCAAAGGAAGCCAAGAGGTGCTAAAGCAGCTGGTCTTGTGAGACGGAGTTCTGTCTAGCCTCTAGCCACTTACCTTTAAAAGCATGATTGGATCTTCGGTTGTAAAAAGCTGTCCTGTGAACCTCGAAGAGTCAAGAAGGCACGCAGGTAGCTACACTACGTCAGGGTGCAGTCTCGATGTGATGTTTCTACCAACCTACTCAATTGTGTGCCTGATAACAGTAAAATGGTCCACAATGGCATTTACTCCTAATTTTTAGTTAGTTCATGACAGCGAACACTCAACCAGAGTAACTAAGTCTGGAGCTGATATAAGCCATACATACACAGTGAATAATTATAATTCAACAACGTATGGACCTTATTTGATTCGGAGCCTAGACCTAAAGGTCACAACAAAGACCAAATGAACCTTACTCTTGTATTAACATCAGCGGTTCCGCTGATG